ATCTCAATGTATAACTGCACATATTCTCTCAGTATGTTGTCTGAACAATATGTTCAAGATCAACATACAGTATGCTGTAGTCCAACAAAAAGACACGAGAAGCAGACAGAGAAGAAGAAGCAGACAGAGAAGAAGAAGGTGGAGAAGAAGAAGAAGAAGAAGAAGAAGAAGAAGAAGAAGAAGAAGAAGAAGAAGGAAGAGGAGGAGCAGAAGGAGAAGAAGAAAAATATTCACCATAAGCTACAAAATTACATTTGAGTTCAAGAAAGCAAAAAACACTTAAGAATTACTTTCATTTCTGGAACAGACCACTTGACATAAAAGTAATGTGAAGCAAAGGAATGACTTATTCATTTCCAATCTGATGTTTTTTTTCTCAGATTAGAACCACAAGTTCTCACTTAAAGCTAGAGGGAAAAAACATGAAAGCCAACACTAATTAGTCTCCCTGTGTTGAACATTTAATAAACCCAACAGAGTGATGAAAATTAGAAACTAAACAACAGCAATGGACTAAAGCATGACAACAAACACACACTACAAGATTTTTAACATGTTGAGCCTGTTAGGCTGGTCTGAATATTAAAATTGTTAGAGCATATAGCCATAGTTTTTCCTCTGAGACTTCTGAAGAGAACGATGCTGAGCTAGAAAAAGCAATCTGTGGGCACCGACTGTGAGAAAAACAAAACTACCTCCTTAAAAAGAATGTGTCAGGAACAAAATAACCAAGAAATCTCGTTTTATATACATTGTAAAACAGTCCTGAACACCGTAGATTAAAACACGATAAAAGACCAGCCTTGACACCGCTTGTTGGATTAACAAATGCGGCGTCATTATTTCGCAGCAAACTTAACAGTGAGGGAGGGGGAATCTACTCTGTGTTCCCTCCAACTCCCACTGTATGCTGTGTGTGTCTGAAAATCGTGCTGCGGTGCATTTTTATCTGTCCCCAGCTCCACTCCAAGCCTCAGCTGGATTCTTTATGCTTGTCTATTTTTATAAATGTGCATATGTGAGTGAGTGTTTGTAAATAGATGACTTACTGTAGGAGGAGATGTGTGCGTGTGTGTTACTTTTTGCTGACTAGATTAAGTCAGGTGGGATTAGACAACTTCATGAATCATATTAACATTAAGCAAATTTGTTCCTCTGTTTGTGTGTGTATGAGAGCAAATTCTATATAATCACAGATTACATGTCCCTGTGGGAGACTACAGGGCCAACTGAGAGAGTATCACTATGTACCACATCTACCCAAGTGTGAGAGGAGGGTGTCTTTTTGAATCATAAGACGCCTTCTCTACACTTTTTTTTGTTGCTCAGCACCGTCTAACTACTAGCTAACTCTACTATGACAAGTATGAGTATACTGTCTTTCTTACACTCTCCTTCATGCTGCGTTTAATTAACAAGACTAATTATTCTGTCAATTGCTCCTTTTCTCTTCCATTCTACTAGACATAAAATAAGCAAAGACAAGAAAAAGACATTAACCCCCCCCCCCAACTACAAATGAGGGTCACTCAATGTACAATGATTGCAGAAGTGACGCTGTATATCTGATGCATGTGCCATGATGTTTTTTTTGGTAATAGTGGGACTTTGTTAAGTGAGTCTAAACAGCGTGGTGTAGACAAGACACACACCATGTGCATTTTGGGAATATAGAACAACATAGCAACTCCGAAGTCATCTTTAAGTCGTCATTGGGGAGAACCGGGTTTTCTGTTTGCAAAAGTTGACATTTTTATAGTAAGTATTGTGAATGTTATAGCTGTACAGTGAATACAGCTACATGGGAATGGGGACTTTAATGAGTGTCTACTGCACAATTTACAGACAAGGACAACTCTGAGTGTGTGCATGTCCTCTCCTTGGACTACCTGTCTTCTGCATAGCAATCAACAGCAATGAAAAGAGAAAATAAAGGAGCAAGGGAAGGGGGAACGCTCAACAGGAAGGCTGGTGTTACCATAGCAACAGGCAAGCTATATCCCAACTGTCAAAATTTAATTTCCTCTGTGTCTTTTTCTATAGGAGAGACGAGGGAGAAGTCGATATCTTAACACAAAACAGGCACTAAGATACATCGCGCATACAAATAATCAGTATTCACTGACCTAATAAGCCCTCCGCCCCCTGTTCCACCAAACGAAACGCACTGAGGCGCACTCATTGTTGTATTATCGTCATACAGTGGATATGGGCAATATTAAGTATTACAACTGGCAAAAGGTCATAACATACTGAAGAAGGCTTTATGTAACAAAGATCATAAAACCAAAAACTCATCATTTAACTGAAGCCAAAAAAGTATTTTACATTATGTCAATATGTAGCTCAGCATGACTGCATTAATTTGGTGTTTTCAGCGTTTAAATATGAAGGGCAAACATAAAGCAACAGAAATCGAAGCTGCCGTGTTAAAAGTTCATCAGAAAGAGCAATACACTACTCTCTGCTAAAATAAATCTGACCTAAATCTGATTTACTCTAAAAATTCCTAGAATTTTTATTCTATTTCTGTATTTGTTAATACGTGGCCCTCTTTTGTGTTTGTTTCTTTTTTACTTCATTTTTTATTCTTTGTCTGTTATATTGTGTCATATTTTTTTTATTGAATTTAATGGTATAGGTTAGGGTTACTTGTGGGAGGAGACTTATAAATAAAATATATCAAACTGTGTTTCAAACTTTATTTTGTATAGCCAAAAAAGCTAACGAAAAACACTTTCTTTTACTATAGAGCAATGGCCTTTATAGCCTTTATAGTGGAAACATCAAGAGCTATAATGATCTGTCAGGATTTCTAAGGATTTTCTGCTTTTATTGATCTTCTATGACAGTAATATTTTTGTAGTAGTGGGCTATTGGTCTGAGAAAACATGACATTTTGAAGAGAACATAATCTGCAGATTAATTATTAATGACATAAACTGTTAGTTGCAGAGCCAGAAACATATATCCAAAGTGAATCACTAAACCTCATACTCTAGTCTTCCTTTATTCTCACCCTTTTAATTTTATCACAGTGTGCCAATGACCGCACGATTAAAAACTATTGTAGAGTATACCATGTCTCTGTTGACTGATCCTGTTCACCAGCTTCTATGCAGCATGTACAAGGTGATAGGGGACAATGTGTCCTATATTGAATATAGGACAAAATACTCTGATGTTTCCAGTCTCTTTATCCCCCAACCCTCCTTCTTTCACTCTCTCTGTCTGTCTCTCTCTCTCTGCCCACCTCTGCACCCACACAAAATGCAAAACTAATATTTAGCACATGGCATTTACTGCTATAGCTTTGTTACTGTGGTTATTAATGTTTACAAAGTCATAAACAGAGAATTTAATGCCTGCCATCAAAATCATCCAACTGTCATACATCAAAGAGGAGGTATGCGTGTGAGACTGCGTGTGAGTGTGTGTGTGTTTAGCAGATGTTCTGTGCAGCCTGTCAGGCAGCCAGCAGTATCCTGCAGCTGAAGCTCTCTCTGGACAGGCTGACTGACTGACAGGTGTGTGTGTGTGTG